ATTCTATTCAAATATTTATTCCACGTGATCCAAATTTAATAATTTCATCAATGAATTTACAAAATGTCACATCAATTTCAAATTTATTATTTTCTTTTTCTTATGTAAATATTACAAATTCAATACCAATATCAATTCATTTTGAAATTCAATCATTAAATTCTTCTCTTTCGTATTTATTTATTTATAAATTTGATCAAAAACCACAATTAAATAGTTCAATAAATGAAATTGATGGTTGGAATTTATTTTGTTCAAATAAACATTTAACAAATGAAAATCTTTATAAATATTTTCTTGATAATGACCAAACATTAAATCATCAATCATTGATTTATGGAATAAGAGAATTAAATTTAACTGAATATCAAAATTATTGTTTAAATAATTCTTCATTAAATCAAATTCCAATTAGAGATGAAACTTCAAATTTTACTTCAAACTATTTTATACGAATATATACATCTGGTTGTTATTATCTTGATGAAAATTATCAATGGAAATCTGATGGATTAAAAGTAAGTGAATAATTTAAATTACATAGAAAAACAAAGAATTTCTCTTCTAAGGTTGGTTCATTAACAAATCATTATGAAACAGAATGTTATTCAACACATTTAACAACATTTGCCGGTGGATTTATTGTTTTACCGAATCCAATAAATTGGAATTATGTTTTTGCAAATGCGGATTTTTCGAAAAATCAAACAATTTACATAACCATGATTTGTACAATAACAATTTTTATTATTTTATTATTTTATTCTCGTTTTCAAGATAAAAAAGATTTGGAAAAATTAGGAGTAACACCTTTAATTGATAATCAGAAATCTGATGGATATTTTTATCAAATTATTGTTTTTACTGGTCAAAGAAAAGATGCAGGAACTGAATCTAAAGTTCATTTTGTTTTATCAGGTGACAAAGACCAAACAAATATTCGAACATTTTCCGATTCAAATCGAAAAATCTTTGAACGTGGTGGAATTGATGCATTTGTTATGTCTGTTCCAAAATCCTTAGGTTTATTAAATTATATTCGTATTTGGCATGATAATTCTGGCCAAGGTTCATCAGCATCTTGGTTTTTAAAATATTTAATTATCCAAGATTTACAAACATTAGAAAAATTTCATTTTATTTCACAAAAATGGTTTGCTGTGGAAAAAGATGATGGAAAAGTAAGATTTCTCTTGGAATGTTAAATTCTTTCACATTTGAATTGTATGTAATAGATCGAAAGAATTCTTCCAGTTGCTGATGAAATTGAAAAAGACAATTTTTCTTATATTTTATCAAAAAAAACGTATCATAATATATCCGATGGTCATTTATGGTTCTCAATCTTTTCTCGTCCACCATCGAATCAATTCTCGCGTGTTCAACGATGTACATGCTGTTTTGTTTTATTCTTTTCTGCAATGTTACTCAATATAATGTATTATGATTTATCCAATCAAGCGAAAACATCAGAAAATCTTCTTCTTCAATTAGGTCCTTTAAAAATCACACCACAACAAGTATCTGCTGCACAATTTCATTTCTTTTTGTTCTTCTCATAAAAATTNACTTGATTATACAAAAGTTTGTTTCAAAATAGAATTTTAATTCCAAAGAAATCTCTTTTTGTTTATTAAGATTTCAACGATTGATCAATATTGGAATTGGTTACGAATGAATTTTATTGGAAATCTTCGTGCTCAACAATGGTACAACGGTGATATTCCTCAATATTTAAATGGATTTTTAAATGATAAATCCAATCGATTAATTGGTTGGGCAATAATGAGACAATTACGTGTGAAATCCAAATTATGTAATGATCAAACAATAATCGAAAATTGCCAATCTGATTATAATTTTTTTAATGAAGAAAAACGAAGATTTCAACCAGGATGGACAAATAATGAAACAATAGAAGATTTAAGTTCATCAATAATCAAAGCATTTCAATATGTAAGAAGTGATGAGTTAAATAATTCAATTTCTATTGGTCAATTTGGAACATATAATGGTGGTGGTTATGTTTATGAATTTCGTGGTCGATTGAAAGATCTTCAAAGTAATATTTCGAAACTTTATCAATTAGGATGGATTGATGAAAAAACAAGAGCAATTTTTATTCAAATTACCTTATTTAATCCAAATGTTCCATTGTTAACTTCAATTACTTTACTTACAGAATTTTCATCAACTGGAGGAGTTTTTCCATCGTTCCATTTTGAACCAATTCATTTCTATAGTAAGTTTATTTGATTAATTCTTTTCGGAAGGATTTTCTTTATTATTTTTGAAAGCATTTACATCGATATTTCAATTAATTTGTTCGATATTTTATATTTTATTTATAATTTATTTTACAATTTGTGAAATTCGATGTTTATTCGAATTACGATTAAAATATTTTCAGCAATTTTGGTCAATAATTCAATTGGGAATGATAACTTGTTCCTTTGGAAGTTTTGTCATTTATATTTTACGTTATCGTGAAACGAAACGAATAAGTGAATTATTTGAATTAACAAATGGATATTTTTATTTGAATTTACAGAATCTGATTTATGAAAATGATCTTTTAACATATTTTCTTGCTTATTCTTGTTTTTTTAGTTTAATTAAATTTGTTAAATTTTTCCATAATGATCAACGTGTTTCATTATTTACACAAACACTTCATTTTTGTAAAAAAGAATTAATTTCATTTTCATCGATGTTTTCCATTGCTTATTTCTCATTCGTTATTTTATTTTACTTATTATTCGTATCGAAAATGTCACAATGTTCAAATTTAATTTCAACTGCACAAATGCTATTTGAAATGACATTAATGAAATTTGACGCAAATGAATTAATTGATGCCGATGCGAATCTTGGCCCTATTTGTTTTGCTTTATTTATTCTTTTAATTGTTTTTGTTTGTTTAAGTATGTTCATTTCAATTATTAATGACAGTTTTCGTCGAGCTAAACAAAATCAAAATGAAAATACAATTAGTTGGTTTTCGATATTCAGAAGATTTTTAATTTGGACAGGTTTGAAAAAATTAACTCGAAATGAAATTGAAGAAGAAAAAGAAGCAAAAATGCGTTCACAATATTTTCATTTGATTGAAGATTTTCCCGAGAAAATCGATCAAATTCTAATTGCAATTAATAACGTAAGTAATCGAATTAAGAAAGAAACAGCATTTTCATTTTTCTCGTTTAGATTTATGTTGAACAAATGGAAGAATTAAAAAGATTAGATCGAATTGGAATTTAAATTTTTAGTAAATTAAATTGAGGTTTTGTGTAATCTATTTGCAATAAACTGACCATCTCTGAGATCCTTACAGTACTAACGTTAGTACATATATACATGTTCTCTTTTTTCCTCTCCCTGGATTTTGTTTGCTCTCTTCTTCTTAGTTTCTTTCTCTCTCTGTGCGATTGTTGTTGTTGTGTTCGTCAAAATAAACTTGAACTCACACAGATATACTACTATTATTCTTCGAGATTGTGTATTGCTGGAACTAGTATAAGTTGTTCGGCATTTAAATCTGTGTGAAAATACGAACAGTTCATTTTGCTCAGTATTTTATGAATTCTGCAAAGCAAGTCAACGTCAGATGACCAGATTGAAATAAAAGAATAATAGTTGAGTACGTACTATTTTTAACTATTTACCTGTCGATTTTCTATTGATCTTGACCAGATTCAATAAAAAAACACTTCCCATTCATTTTTAAAATCCCTCATTTTACTAGTCCAATGCGTATTAGGCATAAAGAGATTCATTTTTTGATAAAAAAAAGTCAATGTTCTCAACTATGCACAGGATATTCTCTCATCGAAAAAAGCTTTCAGTGCAATCCCTAACGGGATTAATAAATGTGAAACACGATCCACACGGAGAAACTTGAAGCACATATACTGGTCAATTTATTTCGCAGTCTGGCATTATCAGTTTGAAGCTAGCACAAGCAAACGATATGTTAGGTTAAAATTTTTTTAATAAGTATGTCCCGTTCATGAGAACTACACCATTTGACTCAAAATTTAATTCTGCATCGAATGGTGGCACTTTTATTCACTGGACAAGCTTTGGAAATTTTTCTATCTATATCTTTGTTCGTTTCCTTTAGGTCTATTTATAATTCAGATAGAATTTTTCCAAAGTTTGTCCGGTGAATAAAAGTGCCACCATTCGA